AGCATTTGCTGGCTGGGGAATTCTGGGGGCTGAAGTCCACACATCTTAAAGTTGCCGAGGTTGAGAAAGGCTGATCTGTGAGTTTGTAGAATGCTTCTGAGGGTTCCCATATTTTATCTTGCTGCCCCCTGCACAACAGCCTTGAAAAGGAGGACACTTTTGGGATGAGGACTGCAAAGAAGCAGGAGCACAGATCGACTCCTGCTGCTGCTGCCGCTCCTCTTCCTTGTTTCAAACAAGCTCGGAGCCTTGCGCAGTTCACTTTCCCTTTCAGATCTGGCATTTTTTACTTTCGCCTTGAGGATATGCTTTCGCGTATGTGCAAACACCGCAAAGCAAAATTGAAAGGAGAACCCTCCTCTGCACGAGGCTCGTTGCAGATCAGCACTTGAAAAGTCCAACCGAAGCTCAGCAACGACCTGATTCTGTTTGCACATTTTCACTGCAGGTTGTCACCACACAAAACCCCACCTTAATCCACACTTTACCCAGTCATACATTTCCACACTTTCATTTTTTATCCACCCATCGCAAATCAGCCTATTCTATTAATGTAAACATGTGTCCCCTCTGTCATTTGTCGAGCCAATATTCCTTTCCAGCTGTTTCAATCTTTGTATTTCGTCACTGTTGGCAAGGGTTTTTTTTTTTTCTTTTTAAAGTATGTTTCCTTATAAACCAGGCCTTTGTAAAATAAATGCCATATTTTTCAGGTTGCTAACTCTCCCGTTACGAATGCTTTGGGGTGACCGTCCGCGGTGCGAGTTTTAAATTGCGGCTCAGAATGAAAAGTTCACCATCTGCTAAAAACACGTTTGGCTGCTCAGTTTTTCTTGGGGGGGGGAATAGTTTGGCTGATAGTATTATTTATGGAGCAGGAAGTCCAACATATTTATTTATTTATGTTCCAAATTTGGACACCGTCCATCTCTTGAGAAAGTGACTCTGGGCGGTTACTATGATAGTTTTATTTTTTTATCAGCCCACAGGTGGGAAAAAAGGAGGCAGATATACCTTTAAAAGAATCCATACATTTGCAGAGATCTACTAGAGCAGTGTTTTTCAACCTTGGCCACTTTAAGATATCTGGACTTCAATTCCCAGAATTCCCCAGGCCGCCCCTCTTCGTCGGGGATCTTTGGAATTAAAGGCCAATAATCTTAATTTATTCAAAGGTGAAAAAACACAGCCAAAATAAACCCTCCAAAATA